TTCGAGCCCCGCGTCGGGCTCTGGGCTGATGGCTCAGAGCCTGGAGCCTGTTTCTGATTCTGTGTCTCCCTCTCTCTCTGCCCCTCGCCCGTTCATGCTCTGTCTCTCTCTGTCCCAAAAATAAATAAACGTTGAAAAAAAAAATTTTTTAAAAATAAAAGATTTTATTTTTAAGTAATCTCTATACCCAACGTGGGGCTTGAACATATAACCTAGAGATCAAGAGTCGCATACTTTACCGACTGAGCCAGTCAGGTGCCCCCCCCATCAAATTCTTAAGGAAATATTTTGCAGAAATAGAAATTTCCAAATATTCACATGAAATCTCAGGGGCCTCAAATAGCCAAAATTATTTTGAAAAAAGAACAAATTTGGAGGACTCCTACTTCCTGACTACAAAGCTACAGCAACCAAAATAACATGGGCTTGGTATAAAGATAGGCACAGAAATGCCAATGGGATGCAGTAGGTACCCCAGAAACAAACTGAATATATGTGGTTCAATGATTTTCAATAAGGTTGTCATGACCATTCAATGCATAAAAAAATCTGTTCAACAAATGGTATTGGGGGCTGCCTGGGTGGCTCAGTCGGTTAAGCATTCGACTTCGGCTCAGGTCATGATCTCGCGGTTTGTGAGTTCGAGCCCTGCATCAGGTTCTGTGCTGACAGCTCAGAGCCTGGAGCCTGCTTTGGATTCTGTGTCTCCCTCTCTCTCTGCCCCTCCCCTGCTCATGCTCTGTCTCTGCCTCTCAAAAACAAATAAATGTTAAAAAAATTTTTTAAACAAGTGGTATTGGGAACACTGGGCATCCTAGCAAATGAATAAAGTTGGACCTTGACCTTACATCATGTACAGAAATACCTTAAAATAGTATGTTTTGGTGGTATAGTGGTGAGCATAACTGCCCTCCAAAATTAACTTAAAATAGATCAAACATCTAAACATAAGAGTCAAAACTGTAAAAGTCTTAGAACAAAACATAAAGCAAAAACTTTCTGAACCCGTATTTCCCAAAGATTTGTTAGATATGACGCCCAAAGCAAAGACAACAAAAGAAAAAATAGATGAATTGGATTGTATTGAGTTAGAAACTTCTGTGCACCAAAAGCACAATCAAGAGAGTGATGGTAGCAGTTATGGAATGAACAGGACTCAGGTAGCAAATGCACAGATAGAAACACAGTCAATGATTTTTTTTAATTTTTTTAAGATTTTCTTTTTAAGTAAGCTCTACACCCAATGTGGGGCTCGAACTTACAACCCCAAGATCAAGAGTCTCATGCTCTACTTACTGAGTCAGCAAGGTGCCCTTAGTCAATGGTATTTTAATAGCATTGCATGGTGACAGATGGTAGCTACATTGTGGTGGGCATAACGTAACATATAGAGTTGTCCAATCCCTCTGAACCTGAAACTAATGTTACATTGTGTGTCAGCTAAATTTCCCTGACCAAAACCAAGACCAAAACCAAAAAACAAAAACAAAAACAGAAACAAAAAACAAACAGTGATGGCAATGCACAGATTGGAAGAAAACATTTGCAAATCATAGCTGGTAAGAGATTAATATCCAGAATATATAAAGCACTTCTGCAATTCAACAACAACAAAAAGCAACTTGACCCTGAGGACCCTTCTTTCTTCCCCATCTGCAAAGGCCCCTTATATGTGTGTGGGGTTTTCTGGAGCTGACAGACTCCCCTCCCCACATTGGAGACTGGACTGGGAGATCTCAGATCTCAGATCTCAAGATCTGCGATGAGAATTCAGAGAGCAAGAGGAGGAAGCATCTGCAGACGTGTGATGGGAGAGTTCAGGGACAGATCTGTGTCACAACAAGTGAAAATAACTTCACCTCGGCTCTTTTATGAAAACCAGGCAGACCTTCACCATAGTGCCTAATGTAGATGCTCCAGGGATCCACCTACCAGAGACTGTGATAGTCTTGACTGTGCACTTATTGAGGCGAGTGCCAGAGTTATAAACGAGGCAAGGCCCTGTGCTGGTTTCAGGTGCAGAGTCAGAAGGAGAAGGCAATTCCACCCCAGTGGGAGCGACACCAACACACCAGGAAACACTCAGTGATTTCAAGTCCAGCATAAGGAGGTGAGGATGGGCCACCTGAGGGGCGGCAGGGGCATGCTGACTCAGGTTGCTGCTGGGGGTCATTAGTTGGAGAGTGATCACAGAATGAGCCTCTATTTGCTCTCACTGCCCACACCAGCACCCTTCCCGCTGATGGAGGAGAGGACGGGGCTGTGCTGCCCAGCAGCCCATCAGCCTGTGTGACCCTGATTCAGTGACTATACCTCCCTGGGCCTCAGTTTCCCCCTAATACAACAGGAATAATGGTAAATGATCTCCACCTGCCATGCCTGTGAAGTAACCTTTAACCATCCTTAAATACCTGGCCCTA